CCATAGCAACCAGGTCAGCTGGACCAACAACAGTAAAATAATTAATCTCTTTTGTCCCAGACACACTGGTAAGTCTGACAGACGAAACAACCTGTTGATAATAATAATGCACAGTGTGGAATTAAATTCAGAGCATATAAGGATTTATTTTTTAAATAAAACTTTTACTTTGTCCAAGTAAATAAATTCTGAACATGATCACCCACCATGTCAGAAGTTTTTTTAAAGGGACATTAAATGATGATAATGATTAAATAAATAATTTAATTTCCTTCTGCTTTTGCTGATGCAATTTTATTGTGTTTGACAAATGTTGTTGTTATTACTGAGTGTAGAAAAAATAGGAGTTAGCACAATAAATACTGTTAAACTTAAATATCATTAAACAGTAAAAGGAATAACAGATTTATTACTTCCTCTTAACCACTGTATGTATGTACCTGTGTTGTTGTGCTGCAGGTCCAGAGGCTGGTATCTCTCTCTGCCTGGTGAAGACAGTCGTGTTCTCTGTCGGTCTGGTCATCATGGTGTCTGCTGTCATCAGTGTCCATCTCATGGAGAAGCTCAAGAGGCACAAATAATCAAACAGTTCTCTACTGATCAACTTCACATGTGTCTCACAGTCTTATCTAAATGTAAAGTTAAAGGTGGCCTGTGTGGTCTTTGACCACTGGGAGCACTTTTCTTTTTTCTAGGTGGGTCCTTCTCTTGTATTATGCATGTGCACAAGAAATGTAGCAAAGCACCGACAAAGTGAAGGAGGGAGAAGACTGCAGACATAGATGTAAACAATTCAGGGTTTTATTTTATCAGCTTTGAAAATGCATGTAAAGCTTTTCTCAGGTGTCAAAGATACTCACAATATGTAAATGTTGTTTCTTTGCAATTTTCTTTCTTAATATTTAATACAAATGCAAATTACTCTTGATTGTTCATTGATTATACCTAATACTGTTAAAAATGTTAGTGGGGTTGTTTTCTTGAAAAAATAACAAAAAATATAACTTCAAATAATACACTATATGTCACACTGCATGAAGTCATATTTACAACATTCTTAAAAAGATTGCACTTACATCTGTTTTGTAAATTCCATGTTCTTTAGACCAAATAATTGATAGTTTTTTAAACCATGTTTTAATGTCTGGGTAAACTAAGTAAAGCAGTTTCTTATATTTGCAACATTACATTTATTAAATCTATAAGCCTCTCTCACATCTTTTCATTTTGTGAATTAACACTTAATCCCGCTCTGGTGTATTGTGAGTGTCTCAGCAAGGAATTGAACATTATATTTAGAGGAAACACACTTGATACACTGACTGCACAGCAAAATATGATGCAGAAACACAAAATATTTAATTACGTTTGACTCAAGGAGTTTCACTTTTTAGTTGAACTTAAAGGAATACTTTAATGAGATTTATCTTTGGAGCATCAAATACTCTAAAAGATACTCTTGAAAAAGGTCTCACAAAAGTGTGAAGCTTTTTCCAGCATAATAAACTTCACTAACATTGATCCTTAAGTTCAGAACAGCTGCAAACTTTGCAGATCAACCACAAGTAGCAAGTACTTGATTCCAAACAGATGGATTTTCAGTTTTCCTTTAATATCTTTTTGTAAAATCTTTTAATAACTTGCTGCATGTTTCAACACATGAAAGAAGTTGATTCAAGTCTTTAAAAACCAGACAAGTACAAAACTGTCTGTCTCTTAACAGGAAATCATTGAAATATGATTCTGTTCTGAGCAGTCTTCTTGGGATGCAATAATATACATGATATATTTACAATAATAAACAGCTATTAAGCTTTAATCAGTTTATATTCAGCTAGTTTTTTTACTACTTCAGTCCCTGTCACTCGTGCAATATAAACTCCACTGTCTGCCTCTTGTAGATTCTTCAGTTTCACAGAGAATTTTTTGACAGAAGCCTCAACCCTTCCAGTGTAAACATCAGAGACTGTTGGTTCTCTACCAGGTGAAAATGTAAATAAAGCTTTACTTCCATTGAATGCCCATTGAAGAATTAAACATTTCTGAGGTACATCATCCTCCATCACCTCCAGAAGTAAATCCTTCCCCTTCTGCATGAATACAGGAGTCACAGCACTGGAGCCCGTAAAAAGAGACACATAATACAATAGAAATCACAGATTCTCTATATAATCTTAAGTCAATAATGAGTGTTAGTCCTAAGCTGCATGTGTTGTACCTCTACCGGCCAAATCAGGTACTGATACCTCATCACACTTTATCAGTGCTTGAGCCCACCAGTGATTTCTATCAGCATCCAGACTGAAGCTCCCATATTAAAATAAGAAAATGTGTCCACTACATGATTTTAATATTTCAGTCAATTCATTTAAACTCCTTCATTCTTGTTTTTTTGTTTTGTTTTCTCTGTCTAATGTTTCATATAATCAGACTTTTTTGAACAAGCTTCTTGGCTTTCTTCCTCACCTGTGCTCAAATATTTAATGTCATCTTGATATGTTAATGCTAAGGTACAACAATCAGATTTTAGAAATATAATTTGAAGTATTAGTAGAAAAAATTAGGTTAAGAGTACATATAAATGAAATAGGTCCCATTCTGACACATCTCATACTGTGATTCATATAAGGAAGTGAAGCGTGTTTTTGCTGTGTCTCAACCAACCTCCTACCTTAGTGCACATGCACATACACATGTTTTCAGTAGGGGGGGCTGTCCTGGATGTGCATGTGGTTAGCATTCAATTCAATTTAGTAAAACTTAGAACAGTGGAGAGGAAAACTCCCTTTTAACAGGAAGAAACGTGGGACAGAACCAGACTCAGGGTGGGCGACCGTCTGCCCACAGCCTTGTTACAGCTTTGTTACTTTTGAATTTGGACTCAGAAGCCGACACAGACAAGGTGGAGATGGTTTAAGGTATTT